GGGCTGCTGGGGACACTGTGACTGGGTCCGGGTGGGTGCTCGATGTCCCCAGCCCCCTGTGACACATTTCCCTGTGACACCATGGCACATGCAGGGCTGCAGGACCCCGTGCTGGGCAGTGCAGAACCAGTGCTGGCTCGGCAGACCCTCGTTCTTTAAAAGCCCCGTGTCCGGGGCCAGGTTCATTAAACCGGCCCCTAAATCACACAGCAAATTCCACACGAACTCCAAGAGAGCCTGACTTCTGAGCCGAGGAATGTCCCTCATGAACATGACTTCTGCGTGCTGCTCTGCTCTCGGCGTCCTTTCCAACTCCATTTTTCCCTCACAAAGCTTTGCCCCCCCCCCAGCCCGCTCTGCCTCCCGGCCCCGAGTTCACTGAAGTGCCTTATAAATAATAAATCTTGTCTTTGTAGCCCCGTCCTTGCTCTGGGCTATATCCTACACGCTCTCCATGCAGCAGGCTCCCTTTGAAGAGCAGGAACACGAGCAGCTTGCAGGGCTGGGGTTTGTGTCACAGCGGTGCTTCTCCAGCCTGCAGTGGGAGTTCGACCCGAGCATGGCCCCAGGTCTGTATCCCGCTCCTGTGGGATGCCTGTAGCTTTGGTGGAGGGAGAGGAAAGGCTGGGAATGGAGGATATAACAGCTGTAGTTTCTGACTGTGTGTCCTGGGGCTGGGAATAAACCCTAGAGTGAGACTGTGCAGCCCTGGTGTCACACACCTCTGCTGGCACTGGGAGAGCTTCCAGCTGCTGGGCTGGGAAAGACCACTCAGTCCCACTCCCCTGCCGCGGGCAGGGACACCTTCCAGCAGCCCAGGTTGCTTTGAGCCCCGTCCAAGCTGTCCAAGGGGAGGAGCAGCACTGCTCCCGGGCACAGCTCAGGAAGGAGGTCGCTGCCACTCCGGCCCCAGCTTTGGCCCCCTTTCTGCCCTTATCCCGCCCACGCAAATGAGGTTTGGGAGCACCTCGGGAAGGTGTTTTGGTGAGAAATGTTCCAACCCTGCCGTGTGCCTCAGCCTCCCTCCCGAGCCCAGCCCCCCGGCCCCCGCAGCCAACAAGTTGCGGTGGAAACAAAGGCAGTTCTCGCTTCACATTCCTCCCAGATAGCAATATGTCAGGAGCCCCTGGAGAGGCTGAAAGTAAATGAATCAGTGCTAGAAAGTGAAGGATCTCATCCGTGCTGAATGGTGAGAAGGAGTCCTGAGCAGCATCTCCATTGATTTTCCCCTAATTGACACCCAGCTCGGCTCGCCGGAGGCTGGGCGGGAGCACCAGGCCCAGGTAGGGCCCTGCCCGGGGCCACCTCGCCTCGGTGAGGGGCTGGGGGGAGCTCAGGAGGAGCTGCTGGGCTGGGCACCCCGTTTTGGTGAGGAGAGGAGAGGCAGGGCCACACCACAGAAAAGAAACCAGGAGCGTTGAAGGAATCACTTAGGAAAGGTTCCCTCTTTTTGGCTTAGGGAAATGGGATGGGAGAGTTGTGCTCGGAAGGTTTGCCCCTGCTGAAATCCACCTTTTCCAGGCTCTCTCTGCCGTGTCCCTGCCTCCTTTGAAACTGCTGTTTGGGGTCTTCATCCGAGTGGTTTTCAAGTCCCCTTAAAACCAGGTGCTTGGCAGCCTGCTGGGGTGTGGAGATCCCCGAATTTATTCCCGGGAGCAGCCGAGGCTGCTGGTTTGCAGTGACCGCAGACACATTCCTGGGGGAAGGCGGTGAGGAGGGAGCACCTGCAGCTCGGGGAACACTGCTGACCCCCCTGCACCCCAAACCTTACAGCCACAGGAGCCGGGCAGGATCCGGGCGGGCCCCGGTCCCTGTGAGCCGCCGGCCCCGCGGTTTGCCTGAGTCACTCCCCCCCGGAGCCCCGAGGTTCCTGCTGAGGCAGCGCCGGGGGCTCTAAATGCTTTGTTGAACGCCTGCCCGCTGTGCCTAAGTGCTTTCAGCCCGGGTGGCTGCTGAATCGGGTTTCCTGGGACAATTATTTGGAGCATAAGTACCCAAAGTCTGCTCGAGCCCTTTTCTAAGTGCTTACGTTATTTTGTTTTAAAACCCCTGGCACCGCGTCCTCAGCCCGGTCCCAGAGATGTACTTATTTTAATTATATTTGGGGAAACGCTTGCTGGCCACAACGGGATGGAAAACGTGCCGTGTTTTTGCTCTCGGCCCCGGAGCCCTCACTCTTCTGGCAGCTCCAGGAGCCGGCTGAGCCCCGCCAGGAATGTACGGGAATTAAACCCCAAGCGGAAAACAACGGGAATAGCCCTGGGGTGTCCACGGGGAGGAACCGCTGCTGCTCCAAGTGCAGCTCTAGGGTTAGTTAAGCTGGGCTTGGCAAGGCCAGAGGTTCCTGGGGACTCAGGGAACACAGAGACAACCAGCTCTGGAATGGGGAGGTCACCAGCTCCCCGTGGGCTGGCACACGGATCCCTCGGGATGTGTCTGCCCGCCCGGCCTCAGCAAGGACGAGCGGGTGGAAAATCCTGATGAAAAGGCTGAAGCTGGGAAGAGTTGGGAGCGATTAGTGGTGTGCCCGCAGCTGAGCCTGCCGCAGATTACTCGTCTTTAGGCCTAATCCTCCGCGCTGGAAAAAAAGAAAAATCCCAAATCTCTTCATTTTTTTTTATGGAGTGATTATCACGGACTCCGGAATGATTGTGTAAAAATTAATCCCGGGGGATGAGGCCGGGTTTGGAGCTGCAGGGTGGTGCTGGCCAGAAGCTGGTAAACAAACCTGTCCCAGAGTGAGGGAATTAAGGGCTCCCCTGCGCTGAGGGGTCTTATCCAGTCGCTCCAGCCTTGGGTCATGGGGTGCCTGGGGACACCCCACAGCCACAGGTCCCACAAAAGGCTTTCCAGGGCTTCCCCGGAGGTGGGCAGGGGGCTTTAAAGGCAGGAGTGGGGCCATGCCACCGGTGGGGACCGTGCCAGCCCCCCGGCTCCTCCCTCCTCAGGGCTCCGGCTCAAAAAGGTGCTTAAGCCCCGCATTAGGAGCGCGCCGTCCCCACTGCCAAGCGTGATGGATCTGTAACTATTCTGAAGCCAGCCATGAATATTGCATGTGGATCCACTTATCGGAGCCTCCCCGGCACGGCAGCCCGGGCCCACTTTAATAGGCGGCTGTCAGGAAACGCCAGCCAGGCAGGAAGAGTTGGGATCAGCCCTTTCGGTGCCAGCACGGGGCTCCGGGATGGCTTCAATCCTCTTCCTCCCCTCGGTGTTTGAGCCCTGCAAGCAAACAACCCCCGAGTTCGGGGGGCTGCCTGCTGGGCAGGAACACGGGGACAGGGACCACCGGGAGGAGAAGTGACTTGGAGCCTCGCTGCAAACTTCTGCAGCCTCTTCGATCCCCAAAAGCAGAGCCAGGACACCCAGGACCTGCTGGTGTGGTGGCAGAGCACTGCTGGTGCCCACAGGGCCATCCTCCTCCAGGCCAGTGGATCCGCCAGGGGAAGGGAGCGGAACTTGGCCCCTTAATTAAGGGGATGGAAAATAATTAACCCCCCGTAAAACCCACGCGCTGCTGAGAAGGAGCGATGCATAATTTAGGAACGGGGAGGAGGCCAGGATGCAATATTAGCTGCAGACAGCATGTCTGAACAGCAGATGTTCAGCAAAGAGCCCAAAAGTTGCACCTCTGGGATAAATGGATGCATTTGGGGGAGTGAGGAGAGTCCAGGAGACTGTGAAAGACTCCCAGGGAAAATACACCGCTGCTGCTGGTGGAGGCTCCACCAATTGCATTAATTAAAGTTCTAATTGTGCTTTGACCTCCTCGGAGGGCCCTCGCCCTCCTTGGCCAAGGCAGTTGGATTATTCCTCCCGGCGCTGATTGTCGGAGCCTTCTTTGCTGCTAAAACGTTCTCTTTCCCAAGCAAAGGTGGAACTTTCAACAGCAACAATAAACAACGCCCGTTTGTTGAAACAGCCACCAGAAACAGTCATTCCATGGGCAGTTCCTGGGGAAGGCTGGAACTGGATTCAAGGAGAGGCCCTCTGGTCCCTGCTGATGCTCTGGGGGTTGGATACTGGATTGGGAAGCTCCTTTTTGACCCATGGTGATGCCAAGCCCCCTCCCTGGCAGGGCTCAGCTCTGTCGCCCTCTGTCCTTCAGCCTCCCCTCCTCAACCTCTAAATCACGGAATTATTTCCTCACTGACTGTAATTTTATTTTCCAGCCCTGGCTAACGAGCTCTTTGTGTAATGTATCATAAATTACTCAGGGCAAGATCCTTCTTTTACTTAGAAAGGGTAAAAAATCGGCCCTGGCTCCAGCCTGGGCCCACATGGGGCTGGATTTTTCCAGCCGGAGCTCAGCTCCGCTCGAGCCCTAATTTTGCAGATAAACAGCTTCTATTTCATTAAATGAGCTCTGCCCAGAATGTTTGTCTTAGTTATTTCCAGCAAATTAATTCATAGGGCTTAATCTGTTTAGCATCTGATTAATGGGATTTTTAATCACCCATAATAATGATAATAAAAGGCTTAAAGTAATAAGCGAGGCAGAGGTGTGTATTTGTCTTCGCTCTGCCCATTGTCCTGACAGCCATCAGGGCTGCACCATAACTCTCAGATCCATCGACCAGGTGGAAAAACCAGCCCTCCTCGGAGTCCCTCTCCTTGAACCCGGGCTGGGGAATCACCTGTTACCCAGGGGGGAGTTGGGAAAGCAGCACCTGGGGGCTCCTGGAGCCCAGACCCACCCTCCGGTGACACAAAGGCCATCCAGCCTCGTCCCTGGTGGTAATAATAATAATAATAATAATAATAATAATAATAATGATAATGATAATAATAATAATAATGATGATGATGTCTCTGCTGCAGGAATCCCCTCTGCTGTCGGAGCAGGCCCAGCAGTGACAGATCCCAGTGTGGCCTCAGCGGGACAGTGGGAGAGACAAGCAGGTATTTTTTTGTCTTTTATCTATTTTTTATCTGAGTGCCGACCTCGTAGGAGTCCCACCCTGCCCAGAGCAGCTGGGACCAAACACAACTCATTGCACACGTGGCCAGGGCCCATCCTTCTCCCTCAGGGGTTTGTTCCTGACTCCTGGGCTCGCAGGGTGCTGTCCTGCCTTCCCCAGTGCAGAAACTCCCCGTTTTTCGCCTCCCAGAGCCTGGAAGCCGAGTGTTTTTGGCTCTGGCAGGGTGAGGGGGAGGTCAGGGTCGGGCACAGGCTGCGGCATTTCCCAGGGAGGGATCGATACCCAACCAGCCGTGCTCGTGCTCCGAGCGGGGAGGGACATGTGCTGGGAGAGGCAAAAAGCCTCCCCTGCCTCTCCCCGGGCTCCTTCCTCCCCTCTGCCCGCCTGAAACGGGAA